GGGGGGGGACTTGGATCTGCGTCAAAGGTGATCAGTCACATTGGCTATCAAATGATGTAGCGTCCGGAGATCTAAAAATGTCAATATGGCTACATGGCTACATGGCTTATCTCTACCATTCGAACACGCTTGGGACCTCTTAGATGCCAAGTAGAAGAACTCGGCTGTGGAAACAATACTGAATCAAAGCTGTGGAGTGGATGACTCGAAAAATTGCACAATCAGGCAATCATGCGCTCAAAGTCGGCTAAACGCGGAACGCATGTCACAGAGTGTCCACAAGGTACTAAGAACGCCATTTGATATTTTGCGCATGGGCCACTGCTTGTCCCCGCATTCCTGCTGGTCAAATTCTCATCTCAGCACTCTATATCCGGCAAGAAATGATGAGTGAGATTGTTGGATCAAGAGAGAACACGATACATTCACAAGCTGATGACAAGCAATGTCTATTGACATCGCTGTAGCTCTGGAGATGTTTCTCGGTCGAAAGTTTCACAGATTAATCTAAGCTTGCTGGGGAAAGTCTCATCTGTGCCGATCTCTTCACGCTCGTTCTGCAACTGATAGATTTGCCAGCTCACTTGCAAAAACGGTCATCTGTGTAGATTTCGACAATCGGACAATTTGGGATGTGAATATTATGGTTTCGGTGGAAAAGCGATTCAGGTTTCAGTGCGTAGTCTCCGCAGATCCAGATACTTGGCAGCGTAATCATTCGCTAAGACTGGATCGCCCGTAAGATGCATGACAGTGGCCTTCTTAGCCATCATCTCTGTCTGTCCCTTGATATCCTCAATTTCCTCGAAATGATCATACGCCGAGTCAATGTATCCAAGCGCACGGTTAATGTACTCTTTCCTCGTAGACGTCGAGTCTCGGCCCTCTAAGCTCCACAGCTCACCCGCCATGCCCATATTTGCGTCGACGAGAAGTGAATACGCTTGCGCGATGAGGCTGTAATCTTCTGACTCCAGGACCTGGGGCATGATGCTCTCGACTAGTTCGCCCGTGGCTTCGAATTCACGGAGACTCAGCAACACCGTCGCTAGTGTGCAGATGGCCTCCCATAGGTCGGCGAGGACTTTTGAGCGATGCGCGATGCTCGCTGCGCGCATGGCGAGGGAGAAGCCGCGTTGCGGTTGGCCGGATTTACCGAGGATTTGTGCTTTTAGACAGAGGAGCTTGATTTGGGAGTGGACGTCGAAGTTCTCTGGTTGCATGGAATGCGCGGCTTGCTCGACCATTCTCAAAGCACGACCGTAGTCACCTTGGCGCATGGTGAATTCGATTGAATAGAAGGCTAAAAGCATGCGCATGTCGAAGTCACGGAGTTGCACTGCCTGGAGTTGGGATAAAATGTGTTCGACGGCCACTTTGTCGTCGCTGTTCGTTGTTAGGGATGGACCGATAAGAAGAAATAAGGTTGGGAGGTCCTTACCGACAAATTTGTCGCTGCAGTTGCAGTAGCCCTGAAAAATAAGTCCAGGCGTTGCTGTATCTGAAAGCTCGGAGCTTCTCTGGGTCGATCGTATTCATCCGTGTGGATGCCTCCTTGTATTTGCCTTTCTGTGCCAACTGTAGAAGATGAATCAGCATTTCTGTCAAGCACTTCCAGACTAAGGCAGTTGACATACTACTTGGCAATTTCGGAATGTGATCTTGACAAAGTCATCATGAGGTTGGCCCTCCGAATAACACTCGCGGAAGATCTCGGTGTTCAGCCAAGCAAGGTGAGTAGCTCCTGTCAACTGTGTTAGCACTATCACAGTTACCGTGCACTTGGCATCATACCTATCCTAGCGTACATGGAGCCCTGCAACAGCATATATGCACCTGTGGGGGACGTGATGCCCTTTGTCACATTAACGTGGGATGCTCGCACGAAGGATTCGACAATTGATGCAAGACTCTCTCCCTATTCATAATGAGGATCAACTTCGTTGAAGGGAAACAGGGATCCTTACTTGCTGCATCTCTAACTTAGCTTCGCTAAGTAATGTGGTGCTCATGAGAGACCACATGTCGGTCTCCTTGGATTTGGCCTTGAGGAAAGTGAGGCCCTCTTTTTCATTGCCTAACATGCCACTGTTCTGAACTTCCCGCATCTGCTCTGGAAAAGCTTTTCCGAAGTGATACAGCCAGCTCATGCAGAAGTTCAGGCAGTTCATGTCGTGAGATTCGCGAGCAATTGCTACGGCCTCTTGCACGGCTGAGATAGCTTCACTGAAACATTCAAAATCGGCTTGCATGATGGCCAGATTTAGAAGAGCAAATTGATATGCACTTCGGTCGAGATTCGCGTGCATGGTGTAGTCGAAGTAGCGGTGGAGATTATCGAACGCTGAGGTGTAGTCTCCAGCCCTCCAGGCGTCGAGATATCTGGCATTTTGTCAATCACCATATACATTGTTGTTGGTGTATGCAACAACTTACTCCAAATAATACATCATTACTGGGACTGAAGACTCTGAGGTCATGATGCGTTTCAGCTGAGCCCTCATTCCATCCGGAACTCTGCCTCCCATCCCTACGTCCATTAGCACACGGGCATAACAAACCAGACAAGGACTGCTTACTTTGCAGTTCACCAACTTGGAACTCGATCAATCGCTCTGCATCCTTGACACTGACCTCTCCCTCTCCATCCTCATCATCTTCGATGTTACCATACACCACCTGTGAAAGGTGGCTGGTTGAATCCAGTCCCAGGTCGCGTAAGTTTACATCAACGGCGATTTCTTCGGCCTCACGATGCCTGCGACTCCAGTAGCCGTAAGTGGGTAGACGATATTTGACAAATCCTGCCCAGAGCTTCACAGAATCATGAAACTGCAGCCGCGTGTATTCAAGATAAGCTCTTCGTACAAACGCACCAAGCGGTGAGCTCCTGGACAAGCGTATACGATCATCTACCACGGGCGCAATCCCATTATCCCTGTCATGGATCAGTTCATCGCGTGATTTAGCCAAGAGCGACGGGATGACCTCGCCGAAGAAAGTTTCCAGCGCATCCAGTGAGTCGATCGACCAGAGATTCTTCAGAAACAAGTCCCAGAGTGTGCGCCCAGGAACAGAGGACTCATGGTGGGACAGACATTCTTCAAGCGCTGAAATTGTCGGCAAGTAATGCTCCTCCCATTGCTTATCGGCGGCATCTAGTGGGAACAGACCCGCTGTGAGGAACGAAAGGACGTCAATAGCAGAAGAATTGGGCACTACGCCTTCAGTGTAGAGCGTGACCAGACACAGCAAGGACACCCTCCAGGGAGTCAAATAACGCGTCATTTTGCCTTCGCTATGGCTGCCACATCTTGCTGTGTTCTAACGGCATTGTTCCAAGGGCGCGCGTGTTGGGGATTATTGATCGACACCTGAGGCTGCAAGGCTGCAATGCGGGACAGTACTCGGGAAAAAAAAGATGACGCAGAACTATTTTCCTCTCACCACTTGACCGATTTCACAATGGCTCAAGCTCTGACTACCACAGATTTGCAGGGTGCCTTGCCCCTTATCGCCAGAGGCAAGGTCCGCGACCTCTATGAAATTGACGACAAGACCCTCCTCTTCGTTGCGAGCGATCGCATCTCCGCCTACGATGTGATCATGGAGAACGTATCAAATTCCCCACATCAATACCCCAATTGTTTAATAAGACCGCTCGCTAATGCCAGTCTTTTTCCAAACTAGGGTATCCCTAACAAAGGCGTTCTCCTCACCCTCTGCACGCAAACGTGGTTCAAGGCCCTGACAGAGGCAAACCCCTCTCTCCGCACCCACTTCATTACCCTCGACCTCCCGCCCCAGATCCCGGAATCCCTCCGCCCTATCCTGCAGAATCGGAGTATGCAAGTACGCAAGCTGCGCATTCTCCCCATTGAGGCAATCGTCCGCGGATACATCACCGGCTCGGCATGGAATGAATATAAGAAGTCCGGGACCGTGCATGGAATCAAGGTCCCCGCCGGTCTACAGGAGAGCCAGGCTTTCCCCGACGGGCCCATCTATACCCCCAGCACGAAGGCAGAGCAAGGCGAGCATGATGAGAATATTCATCCGGATCAAGGTATGTTCTTTTCGTCGAATCTGTTGGCTTGAGATATATCTGTATTAGAAGTATAGTGCACGAGACAAGAACTCCACCTAACCGTCACTCACAGCTGTCGCCATCCTGGGTGAACCCTACGCTTCGACGGTTGCCAAGATGGCCGTTGAGCTCTACAAGACAGCGCACGAGTACGCTCTTGAGCGGGGTGTGATCATCGCCGACACCAAGTTTGAGTTTGGGGTTGACGAGGAAACTGGTGAGGTCGTGCTAGCTGATGAAGTCCTGACGCCCGACTCCTCCCGCTTCTGGCCTAAGGAATCTTACACTGTCGGTCGCGGCCAGGCCAGTTTCGACAAGCAGTTCCTGCGTGACTGGTTGGTCAGTGAAGGTCTTAAGGGCAAGGAGGGTGTGCGCATGCCTGATGACATTGCACTTAAGACGGCTGAGAAATACCAGGAGGCCTGGGAGAAGATAACTGGTGGGAAGATCTAGAGTGAGGTATATGCTTAGACCCGGTATATTGAAGGGATAAAATGGATGTGGGTTCAGGTTCTATGTTTGTTAACGATTGACACGAGACGAGAACGAAACCCAAGTGTCATGTTCAATGGTTGGCCCACTGTAGATGCGGTAGCAGGGATAATTATACACATATATGGCCATCCATATATGGCCTTACCTTTACTCCTCCCACTCAGATTTCAACCCCCTAAGACCTTTCTTGTTCGAATCCCAATCCTGTTGCTTTTTCTCTTCCTTGATGGGCTTCTCCTTGGGCTTATCAATCCAACCAGGGCTAGCGCCCTCATTAAGAGGCAGCGCATGATCACCACAAATACGGCGCTCCTCTTCAATCTCAGCCTCACTAATGCCATTCGTCGCCCAGATCTTATGAATGCGTAGATCAAATGGGCCCTCAACACGGTCCGTGAGACCAATACCAATACTCTTGACACGTTGCCGAGTCAAAGAAGTCTGCGGCTCAATTACAAAGCCATGGTTCGTACGCACGAACGAGTTGAAAGGCAAGAGAACAGTCTCCCATCCATTTGAGCCAGACGTCGTTGTTGTGGTAGAGGTAGAGATAATCGTCGATTCAGGTGGGACGTCTGAAAGCGCAGCGGGCAGGCCAGTTGGATATAAGTTCTCAACGGCATCGGGTGAGTCTGCTTGGAAGTCATAGTCCTCCTGCGATTTTGGTATGTTGCGCAGGCGATGGTGTCGCGTGTATAGTCTGTGCTGGTGGATATCCGTCTCGACGACCGCGTCTGTCTGCACGTTGACGGTGTACCGGCGGCCATCAGACTTGATACGCAGGGCAAGGTACGCATAGGGATCAACATCCCAGAAGAGCCGACCGAAGAGCCAAAAGCCCCGATCTTGGTTGCGAAACGCGGCGTAGCCTGGTGTGCGGGTATTAGTTGTTTTCTTTTTTTTTCTTTTTCTTTCGTGTTCTAGGCCACTTGAGGGTGTCGCTACTTAGATAGCGGGTAGGGACTTGCCGGTTCTTTCGACGCGCCAATTGTCAGGAAGTTTGGTTGAGATGCTACCGTGAAAACGCGCATGTGAGGGAGTATTTGAAGAAGGTTCAGCTGATTCGTAGTCTAGGCTCGCTGTGCTAAATCCCCCTACTGCGCGGTCGGCCATGGTCTTGCATCCTGCAACGGTGCCCTCGTCTTCGAAATTTAGGAGGACATAAGGTTTAGTCGGAGTATGAAGGGCCTCTGTGTTCCAAGCTGCGGCAAATTAGTTGAGCTGCAAGACTGACGACATTGACATTTGACACAACTTACCGATCTTTGATAAACGGCCGAGCTCGCCGGCGCTGCGTTTGAAGAAACCGCCTTGGGCTAGACGTCGAGTTGGAATCATTGTGTAATTGTAATGGAGAATAGGGAGAGGCCCAGATTTGGAGATGGAGTTTCTTGATATCAGATGTCGGCTTCCGAGGTGGCGTGAACGGGCCCGATAAGATAGATAGTGTTTGGGATGTTTGGTCTCGTCTCCCTTCTCTTTCCTCTTACCCTAACTTCCTTTATACTTCATTTTCCTTGTTCCTATCGCATATGTATATCTGCATACCTTTGGGAAGTATTTGACCTCCTCTCAATAATGTACACGTCATCATGTCGCAACTTTACTTACTGGGGATTCGTTCAAGACTCATGCTAAATGCACAGGCCAACATATTGGAGACTTGATCTTCCATTATCCCTGCTGAGCTTAGGACTGTATCAAATATCATGCATGTGCCGATGGCTTACGACATTCTGATCCTCAGGAGTCTCCCGTATACTTCGCCAGGCCGACACCTGAATTGGTATGACGCGTATTCCCTCTTTGGGAAGGACATCCAGGCCCGTGGACTACATGGCCAACTCTATCTGGAATAGTATGCGCTACTAACGCTCTTCATGAGGGCCCGGCTCCGATGATTCTTCTGGGTGTCCGATTGTGAACCAGTGGTTAGATGGTCTCATGGACTGCAGAGTCCTGGGTAAGGCTTGATTCTGAGTCAAAATCGCTTCGAATTAGTACTAGGAGTCCCCCCTTCTCCGCTCCAGAAATATACCATGGATAGCTTCATATCTCCTTGTCGGTGCTGGGAAATCTTTTTTTCGATAATATCCGAAACTGGCGACGGAGACGGTGTTCATAGAGAATATCCACGTAGGCATACCTCGCTCTCTTCTCTCTCCTTTTTCTATATATCCATACCACACTCGTTAATCGCAGTTGAACCATTCGTTGACTGCAGTACAAATTTTCAGTTACTCGTGTTGATTATATATCTCCCCGATGGCGATCCATTACGTCGAACAGAATGGCTCTGAGCCTAGTATTTCTGGGCACAGTGCCCCGGAACCCATTATCACAAAGCAAGATGTCGATGACCATTCAGCCTCAGATTCTAGTGTCCCCGAATCTAGTAGCTCAGTGCCAAGTACCCCGGAACAAACCGTTGCCGAGTCAGCGAAGTCAGTCAAGCCAGTCAAGCCAGCCGACATAAAAACGCCGGCTCCACGTGCGGACCGATTGAATCAAACTCCAACCAAAGGAAATGCACAGGGCCTCTTTCTTCCCGACTGTTGTGTCTTTGTAGGAAAGTAGGTATTGCCCAGTCCTATCTGATAATCGATATACTGACCAAATAGCCTCTCAATCAAGGTTGCTCCTGAAAAGTTGGAAGAAGATCTTACAGAGATGATCTCTGTCTTTGGCCGATGTCATGTTAAGATCAAAATGTCACAGGGGATGAAGAAACTACCTGTTGGCTTTGTACAATTTGAGGTGAGTTGAACTATTTCAGATGAGATCTATGAGATCTATGAGACATACGCCGTGTACATGCCGTGTATTTGGCATATATGGCATGTATGGCCTGTGCTAACATAGTAAATATAGAACACCAAATCAGCAAATGCTGCATTGAAACAAAATAAAACCCTGATGCTACATAATCGGGTGTTGAGATTGGAATCATCCAAGGCTAAACGTGAGTTTCCCTGCTTATTTGGACTTCATCTTCTGCCTTTGCACCGTCGCACTTTCCCACCTTCACATCTTCACATCTTCACATCTTCACACTTTGCATTTTCTCTTAGGAACTGCCAATTTCGGTTATCTCTCTGATGCTCCCATCAAACAATCCGAAGTCTCTGATGCCCTGAAAGGACTTGGTAGTCTTGAGGGCATAAGTGTTCAACACTTTGTCACCGCAGAAGGAAAAGAGTCGACCTTTGGCGTTGTCACTTTCGCATACCCTGACGATTACGCAGATGCCCTCCAGGCAAGTCGGCTGTCCAATTTCGCTCTGACTCTACTGACCACTTGTTTCTTCTAGCATTTCCAGAACAACCCCGAGTACTATATGACCAGATCCAGCATGGACCCCAACGACACTCAACTTCCTCAGGATTACCCTGCAGGACAAAGGCCATCTAATCAACCTCTCCCAAGCCGTGGCAACCAGCAGCGATACAACAATAATGGTCGTAGATCCTTCCACCGTCCATGGTACAGCGGTAGCAACAACAACAGCAACAGAGGGGGATTTCGAAATGGTCCTGGTCCTGCCCCCAGGCAGCAAAACCCACCCTTTGCAAATCATGGTCACAGTCAAAGCTTCAATGGTCAAGGCCATTCTCCTCTTGGCTCTTTCGCTCAGAACTATCCCGGTGGCCAGGGGTTCCCTCAGAACAACTTCAACCAGGGCTATTTTAACCCCAACTTCAATCAAAACTTCCCTGGCAACAATTTCCACCCGAACTATCAGGGCAACAACTTCTCCAACTACCCCAATCAAAACTTCGTAGCTGCGGGTACATTTCCCAATCCTCCTCTTGTGTTCAACCAAATGCAAATCCATGAAGGCCCACCCCCGCCATATCATGCTGAGTACACTGCTATGCCAACCCCAGGGTTTCCTGTGTTCTTGGGCAATCAATCATACCAGTCTCCCAATACTCTTCCTCCAATCCTTACCCAGCCTCAGCCTCAGCCTATTGCTGGTCCTGTTCTCGGTCGCCGACGATTGCCTCCTCGTCCCGACTGTCCCTTGATTGTCTCCAGCCAGCCTCAATTTGACACCGAACATCACCGGCAACTCTACTACGAGCCCTACCCTGCTGACGAACCCGTCGTGCAAATGCAGTCAAGCTGGTCTGGTCCCCCGGGCGCTTGTTTCGTGCAGCCTGACTACAATCAGCCCTACCCTCCCAACGAAGATCCTCGTAGTCGCCAATCTAGCTTGGATAGTCAGCGGAACATCAAGTCGTCGCCCACAGTCAATGAATCCGAGTCAATCTTGACACAGACTAAAGTCCAGACTCCCGAGGTCGAGAGAGGTCGCCAACTGTTCCGGCCGCGCCACTCCAACACCGATGGGGGCTGTGACATGGCTCCAGTTTCCGCTCCTGCCAAGACCCAGAGTGACCCCGTCTCTATGCAAGCTGGCTCTCCGGGAAGAATCAATACGGCATATATGAGCAGGTCCGCTGAGACTCCGATTGCGCTCGCCGCACCTGTGACGGAGCCTATCAAGTCGGAGAACAAGCCTACTGGACCTGAGACCGAGTCCAGCCTGCCTCAGACCGAATCCACCTGTGCTCCAACTCATGATCAAAACAAAGAAGAGTTGATGGATGAAACCAAGCCACCACTGAATATCGACCCTGAAAGCGCTGGGTCCTCCTCCGAGGCCGGCCCAAAGACACCAGACACCGACGAGTCTCGGGAAAGCGCTAAACTTCGGACTCCAGCCAAACCCAACTCACTGAAAGCTGCCGATACAAAGACCCCTAATACCGTCGAGACTCTCAAAGTAAATGAAAAGGGCACTCCAGACAAAGGCAAGTCCCCGGAAGTGGTTACACCCACTCCAACCAAGAGTGGGAGCAGAAGACTCCAGCCCGCATTGCCAGATGGCAAGTACCAATTGGCCCGCCATGCTTTCCAGCATCGCAAACCACTTAAGAAAAAGTACCAACCCAAGACCGACACTGGCAAAACAGTCGAGCAGTACACCCGTGACATGAATGCGCAGCGTGCCTTGATTGATCCTGACTCGCGTGTCCCTGAGCATCTTTTGCAAGAGGTGATTCAAGAGCTAGAGAATGAGCGCAGGGATAATACTCGGAAGAGCCGAGGCCTCGATCCCAGTGATAAGAGCAGTGTCGACAGTGGTACTTCTTCGAAGAAGTAGGTCTGAGATTGACAGATGATACATGATTGAGATGGGAGTGGAGGAAGTTATCCGGTTTGATTTTCTTGCCATAAAGAGGCGTTTTATTCTTATCTTTTTCCTCTTTTTGTTCCATGCTGCTTTAATGGCATGGTCTTCTCTATTCGATGCTGTGTATTCCAAGTTTTTCAGGGAAAACCAAAAAAAAAAACAAAAACAACACCACCACCACCAAAAAAAGGGGAGCATGTATCTTACGATGAACATGCTCGATTCAGTTACCCAATTTTAAGTTTTATTCTGCAGGCTTGCTCATTCTTAAAGGCAATTCAATGCATTGCATACATTAGTACTGAACAGTGCTGGTCTTGGTTAGCGTCGTCATTTACCCACAACAAGCTGCCCTGGTGGCTGGGGAATTTTTTTTAAAAAAACAGTATGAAGTGCCTCAGCGATGATAGTATGATCCGATTTGATTGATTTGATTGACATGGCCTGAATGGCAACTTGATCTCCGTCCATGTAAACGCCGAGATCGAAAGCCGATTTATATGTACAAGATGCTTGTCGATGCCAGGTTGCACGTCATAGATGCCGAAACTGAATGCCAGTGGGGATAGTGATGCACGCCAAACAAAAAGAACAGAACGCAAGGACAGAAGAAAATGGGGCAAATTTCCATATACAAGCGCTCATGGTTGAAATAGAAGTGGAGGTGGTGAGGACAGAGAGGATATGCTGTGAGGGTGGCAGAATGTGGAGGTAAGGAGTCGAGAAGGGATCGTATATAGAGAATATTACGCTGGGAAGAGGTAAAGAGGAGGAAAAGGACGAGAAAGAAAGGTAAAGGGAGGATGCAAAGTGTAGTATGTGTAGGAGTGTGACCTCTCCCAATAAATTGGTGATCGGACTGATCCTCAAGCTCTCACACGTCTAGCATCAAAAAAGCCCAGATTGACAGCTGTATCATTGACGCCCAGGAACGGTGCCGCATCCTCAAGTAGTTCCCAAGGACGGACCGGATAGGGACCGACAATACGACCGCGGTGTTGAAGACGAAGTCGGCTTACCATGGAATTCGAATCAGGCGGCCCGGTCGACAGACCCGATGCTGCTGCGACAGACTGCTGCGCTGAAGATGATCCAACTATAGAGAAAAGAGCGGGGGTGGGAGTTGGCGTTGACCCCGATGCTGCCGGAGACGGGGCTGAGACTTGCTGGGCACTTGCAGATTGGTCTGGCATTGGGCCCAGAAGGTAGAGGAAGCGAGAGTCGTTCTGAAATGGAACAAATGATGGGCATTTCTCTTTCAGGAACCTTGCGCACTGGTGGCGGACATCGTCTGGGAAGATGTCGATTAACGAGGCAGCCACGTCGAGAGCGTGGGTCTGTAAGAGAATTCCTGGGCAGGGACGGAAGCCTTCAGTTGGGGTTGGGTGCGGGAAGTAATCGGCTGCAGGGAATAGACGAAGGACATCCCCGGGGAGGCGCGAGAGTGCAATGCAGAAAATTGATGTCAAAAGCCGGAGCTGTTCGTGCAGAGGGTTAATCTTGAGAGATGAGGGCGGTTGGGCAAATGCAGACCGATGGAGGACTACGATCCTCAGCAAAGCGGAGAACCAAAATGCAAGAGCCCGCTCAAATTTTGAACGATCTGTGTTGGCCACACCCTTGGCAAGGGTACTGTTGTGCATAGTGATGATCTTGTGGAGAAGGGAATCCATCTTTTCCACGAGCACCGGAGCAACAAATGGAGCTCCAGAATCGGGGATGCTGCTCGCAAGCTCTTCGATAATGGTCAAATACATTCTAGCAGTTTCCAATGATCCCAGCTTGTCAGGCGAATCAGGAATATCACCCATTGGCTCTTCGAGCAGTGGGATAGAGAAAAACGCCTTCTCCGCACGCTCCCGGATTTGGCGTACGGCGTCCGGGCTCATCAGTGCAACCAGGTCAACCCAGTGAAGTCTGCGAGCACGGCAGTCTGATACGGCAGTTTTGAACATGGCATCAACAATATTGGTTCGGTCTTCAGACCCAGAAACCGCATAGAATAGAACTTGAAGCTTCAACTGGCAGAATGGGAGCGAGAAATCGTCGGTCATACAGGCAAGTTTTTCGACCTTTGAGAGGACTGAGTTGCCATCGGAATGTGACTCGATGCCCAATAAAAGGTCGAGCGCTTTCTGGACAATACCCAAAGCGGCTGGGTATTGTTCCATGAGCTTTTGCATGCCATTCTGTGCCGCACATTCAGGGTGACGCACAAGGAGATCACGTAACAGCATGGTTATGGAGTGTTCCAGCTCGCTGCGTCTAGTGGAAGAGCCATTGGCGTTGGAAGAAGCGGCATCGCAAACAATTTTGAGCGCTTCCTCGGAGTTCTTGTTGAGAAACTCCTGCTGTGCCAACTGGAATCGATATGACACTAAATCAATGGACTTGCTGTCTTCGTCACCAGAGACAAGAAGTTGGACAAGGTCAGCAGGCAGCTGGGCTGCGTTGGGGACTGTTGATGGCGTAGAGAGTGTGAGTTTCTTTGCAAGAGTCAAAAAAGCTCTGATAGTAACGCATCCAACACCAATTAGCGGCGGCAGAATTCTTAGCAAGATAGTACGTTCAGGAGATCGCAAATGATCACAGACCCAACGGGCAAGAATGCCATCGAAATGCTTTGGATGAAAAGACCTCAGCTGTGCAAGGTAACGGCAGGTGTCATTTGCTGACAGATTCGCATGGCCATCATCAGATTCCAAATGCTTTATGAGGGTGTTAAAGATCGCGTCCAGAGTGGGCTCATCCATGACATTTCCTGATTGCAAAAGCCGATCTAGCTTCTCTTGGAAGAAGGGATCAACGCCACCAAAACCATCTGGAATGTGATCAGAGACCGGGGAAGATGCGGTCATAATTGACTTGTTTTCCATGCGGGAGAGATCCTGGCGAAGAATGGACACAGTGTTCAGTTCACTCGGGATGCGCAAACCGAGTTCGATCAAAGAGAATATCAGATCGAGACTTGGCATGCCAAATCTCTTAATTCCGGCGTAGGCATCAATGAGTCTCCGAAACAGATCGGTTGTAGCGCCAATCACGCAAAGAGAGTCGAAATGGCAATTTGTAGTATCTGCAACCGAGGCGAGAACGGTGCTATCACCACAACTAGATGCAAACTTCAACACATCTGCTAACATTGAAATATCACCAAATGATTCAAGAGCATCGCGGACGACATAAAACTCGGCAGGAGTCAGTGCAGAAACTACAGAGGCAATGCCAACGGGAAACATTTCTCTGTTAGTTGACCTAGTGGCGAGTTAGTAAGATAGGTGATGGGTTCAAGGGATAAAAATGCAAATGCTTACTTTGCGCCCCAGTTGTGTTCCCCAATTGCTCTGCGTAGCCACTGGCCAACCTCGGCTTTGACAGCCCAAGGCAAGTTTTGTGGAAGTGAGTCTAATGCCATCGACGCATGTTCATGGACGCCAAAAATCCCGGGTAGACGTTGGCTGATTATGTCCTTCACGCTATCAATGGCTGCGTTCTCTTCCAAAGCTGAGAGCCCAGTCCGAGTCAGCAGAGTACTCCGCAAGTTCCCAACGTGTTCTGGAAGACGGGCAACAGGGAGTTGCGCTATGAGCCTGATTTCGATTGGCAGGTCCTTTACCTACAGATATGTCAGTGATCAGAAGGGTGTGGCATGTGAATTCAATCTTACTTTGCGCTTCTCAGCTGAGGGCGATGCATTGGTAACGCCTCGTGCCATGATCCATTGAAGATAGCGCCCAACTGAAAATGTCTGTGACCTGACAAGCTCAGAAACAACATGGTAGATCTGATCCATGTTGAGCTTTTGATTGTTCTGTCCACGCGAGAGAAAGGCCAGTATGTGACTGTCTATATCGACGCCGGCCAACTTCCATTTCCGGAGCAGGCGAACACCAATGTAAACCCGACAGAGACCATGGCGGAAGGGTGTAGAGAGCCATTCCAATAGTTTGAAGACCAAAACAGCCTTGTCATCAAAAGCGTCGAGATAGCCAAAGACAGAAGATAGATCGTGAGCAGTGCGGATGGAGTCTAGAAGTCGGACGATGCGTTGATGGGGTGAACGCTGGGTTGTCTGTTTCGAGTGCTTAGGTCGTTGCACTCGCGCATTGCGCTCTGCGAGGCTCTGGAAAAGAGCTTTCTCTGCCTCATTGCTCAAATCAAGGGCAGAAGACACCAGTTGTTTGTACATGTCCCAAGAATTTGGGAGTATCATCGAAGATGTGTGGTCAAGAACAAGTTTTTTGATAAAGCGAGAAAGACGGTCGATAAGAGGTTGAAGTTGTATTAACTTGGCTTCAGTTGCCTATGGCGAGCTGTCAGTATTTACTGCATGCACAAATTAATTTGTACAAGTTAGACGCACCTGTTGCACTTTTTGGAGCAGTAGCTCAGCTAATCGTCGTCCCCTTCGCCGATATCGCATGATACTATTCCAGTATATGCCGAGCATTAAAAGCCAGATTGGAATCGTGCCGATAGAAGCAGTCTCAAAGGATGACAAGAACCATTCAAGGAAATGATCATGGTCCAGTAAGTTCTCGGAAAAGAAACGAGCAGTCAACCCGATTCTGGAGATAAGGTTAGCACGCTGCTCACAATCTACTGTAGTCCACGAGCACCTACGCATATGTCATCTTTGCCTTCCAATCCGAGGACTTGGGGAAAGCAAACACCCCTTCAACAAATTGCTGGACATTTGTCGTCCATTCTCGGACCCATTTCGCCTCTAATCCAACAGCCAAAGTCCCACTTGTGCCTTTTCGCTTGAACGCACGGATTTCATTCGCACCCACGCACTTTGCCAACCAGACAGCACGAGCAACAGGGATCCATTTACCGAGACACTGATCGAGGAGGATCTTGCCGCGGATCCCGTGGGGAATGGTTCGGCTCAACCTTCGCAGCGGAACAGACGGGTTGGCGAGATCTCGAAGCCATGCCTCGCGCTTGTTGTCGGTGAGCGTAACTCG